CCGCCGCAAAAAAAACCTCAAAAGAAACAACAAAACAACCCAACTGCTGCCTCTGTCAGCTGCACTCAGCACCTGTGAGCTCAGCCTGGTTCTTATACAGGCTCCTGGCTCTCCTAACTTGGGGCAGCTGGCAGAGCTCATCAAAAGCACTCACTAGGAAGCTGTCAAAGTTTTCTGTGGCTCTCCTTCCTTTTTCCTTTTCCTTTCCTCTGCCTCACCCTCCCTAGGCAGCAGCAGACGTGCTCCCCTGATCCCAAAGTGTCCACACAGCCAAGAGCATCCCAAAGGAAGCAGAGCCCAGGAACTGCTGTGGCTGTCTGTGCTGTGCGTGCTCCCCACATCGTGACGGGGACATGGGAACGCTCCCAGCCCCCACAGACATCATCCAGAAAATTCCCTTTCCTCCTCCCAGAATAGCCATCGATCTGCTCTCCGGCGTTGTTTGCCCCCTGAGCAGCTCTGCTTACAGAAAATAAAAAAAACAACCCAAACAGAGGCTTCTGCTGCAACCCGAGCCCGGGCTGGCTGCAGCAGAGCCCCCCTGCCCCAAAAAGGGGCACGAGGTGTCACCCCAGCACCTCCACAGGTCCCTGCGGGTGGGGGTGGCCCGGGTAGGTTGCGGTGATGTGCCCAAGGTGCTCAGTGGGCAGCGGGGGTTCCCTTGGGGTGGCACTGGGTACGGGCACCGGTAGAGGGGCACGCAGGCTGGTGCCAGCCTGCTGCAGCTCCTGCTGAGCGGGGACACGGGTGTGCTGATGCCCATGGGCACAGCTGCAGGTCTGGGGGTCCGCCCGGCACAGATGGGGGGCAGTGGGGATCCGGGCCAGGGCAGGGCGGGCTGTGGGGTTGTGTTCCGCGTTCCTGGGCTGGGGAACGCTGCGAGGTCCCCCTGGCACGGTCAGGAGAGGAGCCGGTCCCAGCTGGCACCCTACAGCCGGGCAGGGCAGCGTCCCAAGCCCATTAAGGGGTTCGGCCGCTGGCCAGGAGCCCCCTCCCCGGCTGCTCCCCTCAGGGACCTATTTTGGGCAAGGAATGAGGAAGCTCTTCATTCCCCCTGCTAAAAATATCGACCTTTCCCAGCGGCGGGTCACCGCTTTCGCAGTGGGGCGGGGGGCTCCGCCAGCCCCGCTCGGGCACCGAGCCACCCCCGGCCCCGTGGCTCTGCTCGCCCCGGGACGCTCCGGTCGGGCGGAATCGTTCCTCGGGGGGACCGCGGGTGCCTCGGGGAGGTGCCAGCGCTGCGCTCACGACTCCAGGACGCCGATGCCACCATCTAGCGGCTCCCGCTGGCCCTGCGGACACATCCCGACACGGTTCTCCCGGGCCGGAGCCCCCCGGGCGGGGCTGCGCAGCCCGCTCCGCCCGCGGGGGTCGCGGGCACACGGGGGGCGCAGGCAGGCGGCACACGCGAAGATGAGCAGCCCTTTATTGAGGGGAGGGATGGCGCTCCTGGCCGCTCAGCCCGGCTCGCCCTCGAGGTTTCTGTGCCCCGGGCAGGGCGGGGGTCCCGCTGCCCCGGCTCCCACCGCGCTGCGGGCTGGCAAGGGGCACCGAGCGCGCAGCCGAGGGCGAGCTCAGGCGAACACGGCGGAGTTCTGCCAGTAGGAGTAGACGAGGAAGCCGGTGAAGGTGCTGTCCGTCTTGACGCTGGCGTAGAAGCCGATGTAGTCCCCCACGCCCACCTGCACCCACACCTCGTCCTCGGGCTCCAGGCGGACCAGGGTGCCCCCCGAGAGCGAGGTGGGCTTGGGCCAGTTGCCGTAGTACTGGAAGAAGGAGGCGATGGAGCGGCCGTTCTTCATGATGTCGAACTGCAGGCTGGTGCGGTACACGGTGGCGTGCACGGCGAAGTAATAGAGGCCGGGCACCTCGCAGGTGAACTTGCCCGTGGCCGGGTCGTAGTGGCCCTGCTCGTTGATGAGCACCACGTCGAAGAGGATGGGCTGGTCGGCCAGGGGAGGGCTGCGGGACTCGGAGCGCTTGGCGCTGAAGGCGGAGCGAGGAGCCACGGCGCACTCGCCCTGAGCGCCCTTCTCGCCGTGCAGCCCGTCCACGCCGGGGCTGCCCACCTCCCCGCGGGGACCGGGCACTCCTGGGGCAGGCAGGAGGGGACAGGGTCACCTCCAAGTCACCAACACCTCTCCACCCCTCCTGCCCAGTCCCAGCGCCACTAATTCCCTGCCACGGCCAGGGCACTGCGTGGGGAAGCAGTGGGGAGGGCTGGGTGTGTAATTTAGCACAGCACCAACAAATCGTTGGAGAAACCCTCGCAGAATGGGGGAAGCCCGGCCCAGGAGCCAGGGCAGGGATGATGCAGTTCCTGGTGGTCCCTCCTAAAGCAGGGCTGGAAGGGAGGGGTGGCATCAGGGATGGGGACAAATTCAGCTTCTTCTGCCTTTTACACAATACAGGGGCACCACCGGGGTGGTAGTGGCACGGGAGGGGCGCTTCTACAGGATTCATTCTCCATTTGGCAATTTGTGCCAGCATGCAGGACTCACCCCCTGGCACGGGGGTGTTCCCCACGGGCAGGGAATGGCAAATCCCTCTCCCCCAGCAGGGATCTCTCCTTCCTTACCAGGGGGGCCCATCTCGCCCTTCTCCCCTGGCATCCCCGTGGCTCCGTCCCGCCCGTCTCGTCCGTCTCTGCCTGGCAAACCCTGGCCCCCGTGCAGGCCCGGGGTGCCCGGGATGCCCGGCTGCCCTGAGCACAGCCCAGGGATCTTGTTGTCTTCGATCTGCAAGGACCTGCTGATGAGCCCGAGGAGGAAGAGGAGGAAGAGCCGCTTCATCTTGTCCTGGAGGGGCTGGAGGGGGGCAGAGAAGGATCACAAGCTCTGGGGACCGCAGTGAGGAGGGCCGGGGGCGTTTGGCAGGGAGTGCGGGGGGCCAGCAGGGAACATTCCCCCCTTCTTTTCCCTTTACCTTTTGTGCTGCCTGCACCTGCCCCAGCATCCCCGTGGCCCGTGTGCCACCACATCATCCTGCAGCCCCGGGGCAGCCCAGGACGGCAGTGGGGCGCGGGTGTAGGGCCGGGGCAGCGTTTTTGCGCGTGTGGCTGGGTGCTCTTTGGGGTGGGCACTGCCCCATCACGCCCAGCTATGGCAGGACGGGCAGGGGGATCCCGTGAGCGTGCCAGGGTGGTGGTGTCGGCTCTGGGGGTGCGCGGTGGGGCGGCAGCTCGGCGAGCGCGGGGCTGCGCCGTGGCCCTGCCCTTGGCAGCATCCCGGCGGCTCCGCTCCACCCCCGGCCGGCTGCAGCATCCCCGGCCGTGCCCACCCCGCTGCCGGGACCACCCCCCTGCCCGGGCTGCCCCCGGCCCTTCCCGCAGCAGCGCAACGAGGGCTGAGCCCCGGGGCCGCCGCTGGTCCCCTCCCCGTGGCTTCGACCCAAAAAAAAGCTGCTCTCTTCCCCCTCCACGACGGCAGCAAAGAGGAAAAGGAGGAGGAAAGCGTCTCTCCTCCGCCCCGGCGCCGGAGCCAGGACGCCGGGGAGTCCCAGCCGCCCCCGGCTGGGTGTCCCCACTCACCGCGATCCCCCGGCTCCTGTCCGGGACCCTGCTCGCCGCTGTGCAAGAGCTGAGGCTCTTCCTGGCCACTTGGCTCTGACCAAGGCCCTAAGAGAGGCAGCCTCTCCACCCTCCCTCCTCCCCACGTCTCTCCTCCCAAACTCCAAAGGAAATCAAGGGCCTTGGGAGCCAAAAGCTACAAGACAAGGGGAAAAAGAAAAATAATCCCATGATGTCGGAAGTGCTGTAGGCAGGGGGAAGGGAGAGCGCTGCAAACGGCCTGGCCGAGGAAGGGGAGGCACAGGCTGTGAACCACCTCAGCTGGGCATGGCTGGGCACCCGGGCAGCAGGGTGGAGGGGAGGAAAACGGGGAAAACAGGCAGCAGAAGGAAAGGAAACGAGATAAAGGCTGAGGGAGGGAAATCCAGCGAGGCAGAGAGAGTGACAGGAAGAAGAGGGAGCTCTCGGGGTGAGCGGGTACCCTGACTGGCAGCAGAGCTGAGGCAAAGGGGATGGCAGCACACACTCTGCCGGGCAGTGCCAGCCCTGGGAGCACACAGGGGAAGATGCAGGATCCATCTGGGCAGTCCCAGCACGCTGGGCTGGGCGTGCAGGGCAGGTGGGAGCGCGGGCAGAGCAGCGCTGTGCCCGTGCCAGGAGGCAGGGCTGGCCCTGGGGACCGCGGCGGAGCTCTCGAGGCGCTCCCAGCTTGCCTTCAACTCGTTCCAACGCCGAGTTTATCCAAGGGACACGGTCACACGCTGGCCAGCGGGGCGGGGCTGTGGCTGGGGATGTCCCTGTGACCAGCAGCAGCTGGGACATGCAGGGGAGAAGGAGCTGGGTGGGCTCAAAGCCCCTGAGCTGGGTGGGAGTGGCGGCTCCGTGCTGGGTCCAGGGGCAGAGCGGTGCTGGCACAAGTGGCTCCTGACCCCAGCGACCCCAGCCAGGCTGGGGATTTCTCAGGGCAGTGGGAAACACGATGGCACTGCTGGCTCTCTCCTCCCCGTGCCAGAGCCTGCAGTGCAGCTGGGGCCATTGCCAAATGTTCCTTCCAGACCTGGATACTCACGGCCAGGCGGGGTGGTGGCAGGGAGCCGCCTGTCTCCTCTCTCCCGAGGTGTGAATGGACTGTTGTTTTTGGCCAGCTGGACACTGGTTTGTGGCCGTGGGTGTTGCCAGGCCTGTGGCCACCAGGGTGGCCTTCAGCCAGCACAGGCAGCTCAGCCAGCAGGGCCACCACGCTTTGGTGGGGCAGGATCCCTTCCCTGCACTGTGAGGCCACCAACTGGACCCTGTCTGACACCCATCCTTCTCCCTGGGACCCTGCAAGCCCAGTGAGGGCACAGCCAGCTGCCCACCCTCTCCTGAAGTGTCCCCTGTGCCCCTCCATCCCTGCTCAGATCCCCCACCCCAATCCCTGCCTCCCCTCCCTCCAGCCATTCCTCAGTTTCCCCTAGGATCTGGCAGACCCCAAATGAATCACCCGCCCCGCTGGGTTTGTCAGCTGCTCACGCTGTTTATTCTGCTGGATTTGGGGCTGTGGGACACAGACAGCCCTGGGCTCCTGTGCCTGCAGCCTGGCTCACCTCTGCCCAGCCTTGCTCCTTTCCCTCGTGCCCCTCCAGCACAAGCCTTTCCCTGTGGGATATGTCACCTGCTCTCGAGGGAAATGGAGCTGTGGGCAAGCCCGTGACACCCAGGCAAGCGCTGGGCAGAGGGGCTGACCTTAGGGCAGCTGATGAGCCACCCCAACAGCTGGAAGGGAGAGCAGGAGGAACATTTAGGGTGGGGAGGGTGGCTTCAGCCCCTGCTGCTCTCCTCTCGCCGGCTCAGGGCTGGAAGCACTCCACGGGGTCGTTGGAGTCGGGCAGGATGTTGCAGTTGATGGGCCAGAGGATGCCGAGGAGGCCGAGGGACTGCTGGCAGCGCAGCTCGGCCGCCTGGCACACGGCCCGGCAGGGCTGCAGCACCCCTCCATCCGGGGTGCACTTGGGCACGAAGAGGCTGCAGATGAGCAGGCGGAGGTGCTGGTAACACGCCAGCTCCATCAGTGTCTGCGGGACAGTGGGGACAGCAGGGGGACAGCAGGGACAGCAGTGTGAGCCTGGCACAGCAGGCTGAGGGCAGCCCCACGGGCAGCCCCCGGCCCGCTCACCTGGTAGTCCTGCAGCACCTCGGCGGCTCCCTCCTGGTCCGGGATGGCCAGCCAGATGTTGGGGAAGGAGGTGGCGTTGTAGCCCAACCCCAGGCACATCTCCACTTCCACGGGCTCGCAGACAGAGCCTGCCGCGGGGAAGGAAAGGGGTTGTGCCCGCGGCAGAGCTGTGCCCCGGGGCCGGCTGGGCTCAGCGGGCCTGGGTGCCAGGGTGACACTCACCGAAGGCCGGGTAGGACACCCCGGTGCAGTTCAGCTCGTCGGTGCCATCGGGGCAGTCGTGCCAGCCGTCACACACAGACTCCAACGCCCGGCACTCGCCATTCCCACAGGAAAACTCGGCGGGGCTGCAGGTCTCTGGAAGGGGAGAGGGCAGGGCATGGCTGGGAGGCAGCGTGGGATCGTGCTGATCTGATCTGGCAGACCCAGCTAGGGAGATCCCAAATTCCCCGGGTTATTTGGGGCAGCCCTCAGGTCACGGATCCTGCCTCTGTGCCCTCCCAGGTCACATCCCCACGGCTGTGAGGTTATAGGGTAAACCAGGTGAGCCCAGCAGGCCCAGCCGTGGAACAAGAGCTGCTTTTCACAGGTTTTTATCCAGCCTGGCCTTGAAGCCCCCCAAAGATGGAGGTGGCACAACCCTGTGCCTCCACTTGGCTACCTACTCTCTGTGGCATTGCGGGCTTGGTAGGTGGCAAAGAACCCAACATCTGCAACTCCCTCGTCTGCCACGAAGAGGACGGTCATGACGTGCCGCGAGGAGGTCAGGGTGGGTGGCAGCTGGTGGCCACAGAACCTGCCGAGGTCATGGGACGAGAGATGGGGTCAGGGGGCTGACCAGCACCTCCCCAAACCCTGCCTCTTCCGGTGGCTCCTCCCCACCAGCCAGCCCCGTGCCTCAGTTTCCCCAGGTGAGCCGCGGCCCCTGTGTCGCCAGGGGGGCGCAGCAGGCCTGGGGGTGTCGGGTACCTGCCCATGAGGCTGGCGGTCCCCGTGCCCGCGCTGTCGTGCACCTCCACGAAGTCGAAGCTGCAGTCCTCGTGCGACTCCAGGCTGAAGTTGTGGAAGTGCAGGTCCACGACGTGGCCCAGGGGCACCGAGATCTGCCAGAGGCACAGCTGTGGGGCAGGGGGGCAGCCGTGAAGCTGGGCAGGGGCACCCCCGGCTCTGCCCACGGCCGGGGTTGCCTTCCTCCCTGCCCATCCTCACCCTCCCCGTGCTCCCAGAGCACCCCTCCTCTCACCTGCTGGTGCGGGTACGGCTGCGGGTGGCTCGGGCTGGACAAGTGGCCCTCCAGGGCGGTCAGCGGGCCCCCGCATTCTGGAGGGACACGCACACACACACATGCACATACACACACACACACACAGATTTACCCCTGCCCCTCTCCCTTCCCTCCATGTTCCTGCTCCCCGTGGTGCCATGGGGCTGGGGGCTGCGGCCAGGGTCTGTCCTGTGGCCGGGGGTCTGTCCTGCAGGGTTGTATGCGGGGGTCTGTCCTGCGGGGCTGCAGGCGGGGATCTTCCCGTGGGGCTGCTCCGGGGGTCTGTCCTG